AATCCTCTTAAATAATTTGAACTATAGGTTTTCAAAAATATTTTTATAATATTTATACACAGTAAATGAAATAATTTTTTGCCAAATTATATTTAAAAAATTAATTTTAAAAAAACCATAACTCATATATAATATACATTTATAATATCTACATTTAAAAAGATTTTTTAATTATTATTATTTATTATAAGCAAATAGGTATCATGATATATTCAAATTTTTATGAATAAGGGATTATGTTATTGACGCATTTTGAGTCAAATTTTTATAATTCCGGTCGGAATTATGAGTGCATTAATTCTTATGGTTTATTGTTTGTGTAATTCAGTATGTATAGTAATGGATACACCATGTGTGCACAATTTGTGTATTCAAGTTAATATTTTTGTCAAATGTCCAAGCAGAATTCGCGGAATTCGGAGAATGATAAGCCAAAAACATCACTTCCATCGATTATCCATATGCCATTAAGTTTAGACTCTTACTTGCTACGCTATCATAAATTTTTAATTCGCAAAAGAGAACGTCTCGAAAACAAAGAAAGTGAATTAGGATTTGAAATTAAAGTTGCATTACATATTTGGCGTTGCATATGTTGTGCGCCTTTGCATCTCCATGGGTAAGTGATCTCGAGATGGTTATATTTAATTATCACATGGTCCCATATCTTTATACAGTAATATCTAGTATGAAACTTTATTAAGTTAGCGTTCCCCTTTGCTTGTGATATATCACGTGAGTATATAATAGAAAAGAAGGATTTAATTACTTTCCTTTAAGAGTACAGCATATAAACTCCAGGCTAGCAATTTTTCATTCATATTCAAAGAACTAGTTCATATATGACAATTCATAATACTATACCTGGTGAGCATAAACCGACGTTTGGAGGAACAGCGTTAAAAAAATTCCGTTATCTATATAAATAAAGTATTGGAAAATTCAGTTACTGTGTGTGGACGGAAATTTCACTCGTACTATGATGATTTCCGTTAAATACTGTATATATTTCTGATGAATGATTTTATCGCATGTAAAGAATCGTTTTTTATTTATTTTTTATTTATTTTTTGAAGAAATTTTATTAGAATACTTGTATTTGCGAAAAAGTGATATCTACATGGTGAAAGGATTCATGTCAAACCGTATGACAAGTTACGTTTATCGCATAAAGGATGATATGCATGGTTTTTTTTTTAAAAAAAATTTTTTTTTCGGATTAACGTTACATGTCAAAATTGGATAAGGGCGGGGCGCGACAGATTTTTTTCAAACCTCAATTGAAATCAGATATATAATACGTAGAAAGCCATTTTGTCACCCTTTATGTACATATAACGTTTAAATTCAGCATCACTATAAAAATGGTACTGAGTAATTTTTTCAAAAAAAAAAAAAGAAAAAAAAAATGGGCTCATCCATCTCACAATGTTCTAGTGCTGACTTAGACTTAGAACCATTAGATTCTATAGAAACCAGCAAGATATCTCTTTCTCATAAAGTACTCTCTCTGGTGCCATATTTTAACAGCCATGATGTTGGCATAAATGTTACCACTGCCGTATTTGTTAAAAATCTTATAGAAAAAGCGGAAACAAAATTAAAAAACGATGAATATGATAAATATGTTAACTACCTTCAGAGAGCAACTCAATTAGGTATCGACAGAGAAATTTATAATTTCGTGTCAAAGATAAGTTACCCTAACCCTATTGATTTTGCTTTTCTTTCTCGAAAACATTAGGTTCTGCGTGTGCAGCTGCGAAGTTAGGGGATGTATACAATCGAGGTCTAAATTTTATTATCGTGCCAGACTACGCGGCAGCTGCTGCATACTATTTTCTCTCGCTGAAACTGATTATGATGATACCGTACGCCTCATGGGTATTGACTCTTTCTTCTGGATTTCAAAAAGATTCTATGATATAATTTACTTATTGTCGGAGTGTTTTATCTTAGGACATGACACTGTTACTTGACGTGGCTATAGGGCTAACTGAATTGTATCAGTCAAGGTTGAGCAACGAATGCGACGAAGATATCATTTCCCACGGAGTAAAGATTATGCGTAATATTGACGAAAAATTGCAAGACCCTCACTTTATCAGAATTTTAACTCATCAAGACGTACAGAAACGTAGAGCGATACGAATTCACATGAATTTTTGCTTTGCCTTGGCGGCGATGACTACAGGAAATATTTTTGAAGCTGCTCTATCATTTCACGAGTGTGAACTTGTGGGAGAATGTGGAATTGAGACAGCAGATAAATTGGTGAAGAAATCTCAACTTCACATTAAACTTATTGATTCTAGTTTACCGAGGATACCTCCAATTTGTATTGAATGTGAATATTCCCCGAAGAATTTAAAAGATATCTGGAAATTGATGGTGTGTCCTCACTGTCGAGAGGTGGGTTGTTGCGGGAGTGATTGTTTATCCAAACACATTTCTACAAAATGTAAAAAATCAAAATAGAGAAAAAAATAACATAACATAACCAACTTGGTATGCTATATAAAGTAATCTATTTTTTACAAAAAAGAAAGGAAGACGACATCCGACTGTCACGGATGCATATAATGTACAATAAAGAAAAGTTGAAATACATATTCGTAATGGGTCATGCATATGCATAAAGGACTATTTCTTTTTGCTGCAACTGGACGTCATATTAATTGTCAGAATCTCTGCAGGTTGTACTAACAAGATATATAGGCGCTTTGTATCATAAGCACATTCCCTTAAGTGGACAAAGACCATTAATAAATCTGTGCGATACTTTCCTCAATTAAATTTTTCATGCATTTACAGTATATGGTGGTGCGCATTGATGACCCACTATTCGTTGAACCTTATACAGTGTTGAGTCAAATGTTAAAAAAATTAAAAAAAAATTTTAATCATCTCTTTTAAAAAATTTTTTTATTTACTTTTTATAGCAAAAATTATAAACCATTTATTTATTGTATATTACAGTATGTGACAATGATAATATGAGAATTTTGTAACTTAAAAAACAATTATCTAATTGAAATATACAGTATATAATTCATATAAATATTAATATTAAAATCTATAATAAATAGTTAAAAAGAATATTTGGTGGAACAAAATATAAAAGAGATCTCAAATTGGGAAGGTGTGATTATCTGGTGAAATGATTTGAACATAATACAGTATAGGGGATAGATGGATTTTTTTCAAGTAGCAAGTTATAAAAAACTAGTTCTACTAGCAAATTGAATTTATTGTAAAGTTTAGGACTGTTGAGTTAGTATTCGGGAAGGAAAAATATAAGTATATAAAATTTCAAATGAGAAATTTCCTTAATAATAATTTTAATTATAAATAATATTTGTTTTAAAATAATAATACTTAAATTTATACTATCAAAGATGTTCAATAATAGATTTTAGAAAATAAAAATAAAATTGATCAGGTTAATCTTTTAATTTAAACCAATTGAATATTTGTAATTTGAATTGAAAAAAAAAAAAACAAAAAAAAAAAATTAAAATATACTTATAATTTATATAATATTTTTTTCATTAATCTTCTGATCACACATAAAAAAGATGTTTGCAAGAAGCTTTTGTACTTTTTTGCTAATAAAGCCTTAACACCTTCATTAAAACAACTTGAAATATAACTTCAAAAATCACTTCTACACTTTTTTTCTTGTTTACAAACCTCATTACTCAAAAATTTGACTCTCAGTATCCAAGAAAAATCAAGTAATATCTTTGATATCAATGACAAGAAAGTTTTCAAAGAAAAAAAACTAATTATAAAGTATCTGAAGACTTTTTTAACCTTTGAAATGAAAGATTATAGAGGTTTTCTACAGTAGAAATACTTGTTTTTTCACTTTTTAATTGTTTTTATTTTCTTAAAACTTCTATTTTTATAGTTTTTTGAATCTTAGTTTGACCTTGAATTTTAAATAGCACAAATTCTTACTAAAAGTAATTGATTGATATGAAACACATTAATTTTTAAAATACAAATAAGTTTCTATTAGTTACATTTATATGTTCTAATGATATCATTGATAATTGAAAATAAAAATCTATAAAAAAGATATACTTTAACTAAGCAAGTTTTGAAAAAAGACAGTTATGATATCAAAAAGTAAGCAAAAAATAATAAAATATATTATTCTTATCTTTTAATTAAGTCTCTCAAATAGTAAGAAAATATTTCTAAAAAAAAAAAAAACCAAAATCTTCAAACTTCTATTTCAGTTAAACAAAATTTTACAGAGACTTCTTTATTCTAGTCAAGCTAACTCTACTATAATATGGCACTGGCATCAATAATATGATAAGCAAATCTATAAATTAGTAAAAAAATAAATTTTTTAAATATTTTTCTTGAAATCGTAATACTTTGAAATAGTTAAGTTCTTCAGATAATTGAAAGTTCTAAGAATATTTTAATTAGGCAGATCTCTTTTAAAAGGAAACTGTTTACTTGAATAAAAATCTTTTAAAAGACTTTGAATTGCTTTTTTTTCTTTTTTTCCTTTTTCTAATATATAATTCAACAATTAATTATTTTTTGAGAATAATCTATAGTAGCAAACTATAAATAATTTAGACTTTGTTTTATTTAGTTCAAACTAGCTTAGTAGATTTTCATATTTTTTAATTAATATAGTCCTTTAATTAATAATATACAAAGATAAGTTAGTTATTTTATAAATAATTCATGTAATGGTATAGATATTTCTAATATTTCAATAAAGACATACCATGGTGATATAATTGTAGGTTAAAAAAAAAATAACAATAAAAATAAACTAGAATATATAAGAAATCTTAAAAAATTAAAAATTGTATTATAAAAAAAAAATAGAATAAATTTCAAAAAATTAATTGATAAATTATATAAAAAATATATCACAAAAAATAGAATCAATTATTAAGAATAATTTTTTTTTTTTTTAATCTGCAATCAAATCAATATGGCATATTTTTATTGTATATATATAAAAATATATAAAACTTTAGACATTTAAAGTTTAAAACCAATATTTTAAAATAAATCACCTTCATAAGCTATATGCTGTAGCAGGCTAATCGGCGAGTCTGTCACTAATGACCAAAAGCTCGTGTAACCTGCGGATAGAAGAGTCCGTCCTTCTATCACACACACAAAACAATGCCAAAATCAAGGCAGAGGCGTAAAAAGATTTGGGCAAGTCTCAAGGTAGTTTTCCCTAAAACTACTTATAACTTCACTATTATAACAATCTATTCAAAAGATTCATCTTAAAATTCGTCATTTTATTAAGTTATTGAAGGAAGTTACATTTATATATTTTTATACATAGGGCTTTTATATAATCACTATGGTTATTCTAGTATTATGTCATACATAAATTGCTTTGTGATCAGCTAATTTTCTATTACCTTAGCTTATAGTTTTTTATCTTTTTTAATATGAATGGATTGTTTATGTATTCTTCTAGCTTGCAAGGGGTATGGTGATAGTTGGCAATTGATTGTTTGGCATAAGCTTCAGTCATGTCATGATCATTGGTCATGTAATCACAATGAAAATTCTGAACTTTGTTTAACTTCTTTGCTCTTTAACAATAGCTAGTTCTTTTTACAAATTTATATAAGTTAAAGTGAATCCAAGTAAGTCTAAGCTAATTATAATCAATAACAAGAAAGAATCCAAAACAATTTTTGAGAAAGACACTATAAAGAAAGATATCAGAGCAGTTCAATACTTGAAAGTATAGTTCAATCACAATGGTAAAAAGAGATATCAAACAAATCTGCTCTATTAACAACATTAAATTTAGCAAGCTATCTGCTATGGAAAAAAGTTTTAGACAAACAAGCTCAATACTTGATAAATCACATAATTTTACCCAAGGTGGAGTACCTGGTTCAATATTTGTGTCTAACAGAGTCTAAAGTAGATTTCATTGACAGAAAATTGAGAAGAATAATCAAGCACAAAACTGGTTTCACTATCTTAGTCCCAAACTCAATGTTTAATAGTGATCTAGGCTATGATGTGTTAGTTTCAGGACCCGCATACTCCAAAAGCACATAACATTAATAAAAAAACTATACTCAGCAACTAGCCATACTAGAAAACTATACAGGAAAAAAATAACAAATCTTCAGTGGATAGCCTGATCAGAGACAAATATCTTAGAGGCATGTTCAAAGATCTACCCAACAGATACAAATTTCATACAAGATGTGCTTATTAACATACAAAAGTCAGAGTTTTTATTCAGAGATAGAAGAGCAGAAAATAAAGTGACAAATAATGAACTCATATTAATCAAAACATATATGGAAGTAAATTGGTTTAATAGATATAGGAACAAGCTCAGAGTGAGCAACTTTAGATGGGTAAAACAATTTATCAACTATAACAAGATCAAAATCATAAGTTGGATTCAAGTATATTATACTAATCAATGGAGAGCGCAAGGGAGACAACTATATTTCTATAAAGAAATAATCAGCAAGATTATTACAAGAATAATCAATTCAGAATATATGACAAGACTAATCAACTTTTATCTAGAAATTAACACATTTCACAATATAGGATGAGCAGAAAAGATGAGCAGTAGATTCTTGAAGAAAAGTAAACTCATCTGAATTGTTGCGGAAGGAAACACAGTGAAGGAGGAACTACTAATAGGAAAATTAAGAAAGAAAAATATAGAAAACACTATGGCAAGACACTATGTTTATGATTTATATTTACTATACATAAAATTATGCCCAAGATGTGATATTAACAGCAAGGCTGACAGAAATATCTATATCATAAAAATTCCAAATAAAGACATGATCACAATTCTTGATAATAATAAACAAGTCACTATAAACTGAAGTGTAGACAAAGAAATCAACCCTTATAATTATCAGAAAGTATCAAAACTAGATTAGAGCATTACAAGAGATACATTATACATAAAATCGATGATATATATATTCCTAGACCTACTAATACAAGAGCATATATCAAGTGAATCAAGGATAAGACAACATAGTAAATGATTAGTCAACTGTAGTAGTATATAGAAGAATAGCAAAAAGTCAGAGTTACTCTAGATGCAAGCTATTATAAGAAGTTCTACATATTACTTTTCAGGTAAAAAACCTTGTATTAGAAAAGGAGACTGAAATTATATCCCTCAAAATTCTTCACAAAACAATATCTAATAAGGTGGAACTAAATACAATCATATTAGTACTAATCTCCCTCTTACTAGGTTCTGAAACAATAATATATACAGACAATCAAATAGTAGTCACAGTATTGAAAACTATGAAGAAAAAAAGCAAGATAGCAAGACTAATTGTGTATACAAAAGACCTCATCAAGGTTAAAAACAAAAAGTTTCAAGCAAAAAAGAACAGAAGAAATAGAATTCAGACCCACACTA